TTGCCCAATTTCTTCTGATATGCCTCCCAAGATACTGAGTGATTATTTTGGGCAAGGCTGGCAGCTGCCTTCGATTGCTCTTTTGCAGGAAACTATAAGAGGACAGCCACTAAGTTTATTTTTACAGCTCACCACAGGACCAAATCCACATTTTCTATCGAGTGTTGGACACTCCAATTTAACATGTTGTGAAAAATCTCTTGGCCCAAATAAATATGTTTGCTAAGAGAACTCCTTTCTCTAAATCGAGACCTTGCTTCCAGAAGCCCAAGAATCCATTAAGCCATAATTAGCCGTGATAATCACTGATTATTTAAAATACAGTAATAAAGGAGTTTATAGTGGGCTTTGAATGCCCTGTTGGTTGACTCTTTATAGCTTTAGTTAGAAAATAATTCCTCCATTTCATCTAATGGCTGCTTTTCCTTCAGCCAGCCCTTTGTGCAAACAGGGTAACAGCTGCCATCCATGCTCCCAGTGCTGCGGAGAGGGGTCAGGGAGGGGACCACATCATCTCAGGCCAGCACCAGCTCTGAGATCCTGTAAAGACGGCTGGCTTCATCTGTCATCCGTGGAAAGCAACAGAACGCACTCTCCAAAGGTGTCTTTACTTCAACACACAGAACACCTCAGGAGGGGGCGTTATCTCTTTGTTCTGTGGGCTGATGAGGTCAAAGGGATTAACTTTGATTAGCTGCCTGAACTCAGGACTCCGGTAACTTGAGTAAAGGCATACAGTAGGGGACTGAAATCTAAACTAGAGTTTCTCTGCCTTGGGAATCCCCAGTTCCAGTACCAGCTGAACAATCCCAAAGCCATGGCATCAGCAACTTTGGTGTCTAAGAGGACAAGTCTGCTTGTTTCCTTTTTCCTAAACAAAGCTCGATTCTTCCGTCACTTGCGCTCTGTCTTCAGTATATCCCGAGATGTGCCAGGAAATGCTCACTTGTCGTCACTGTTTTATTTGTATGTTTATCACTGTGACTTTGCTAGGAGGTGTCCCATTGCCACTGGACCGAATTTTATTGTGGCTCTTCCATCTGTGGCTTGTTCCCTGTTGACAGTAATCTTTTCATATCCGATGGCGGACATGTCTCTTGGTTGAGCTGTTGTCAATAGGAAGTTAATGATATTGGATTTAAGAAAAATCAACTAAGAATTGTATTAATTTTATGAAGTTATAGATTCGGGTACCATATTGTACTGCATTGGAAAATACATGAGCTATGGATTCAGGCTTTGATTTACATCCTTGGTGTTCAACTTACTGGTTATGTATCTTTGGGACAATTACTTAGTCTCTCAGTAGATGAAATTCCTCGAATGCAATCAGTGAGCTCTCACTCCCTGATAATTTTCTTTCCTTACGATTGAAATGAATGTTTCCATTGGATAAATGTAGATGAATTTCCCAGACTTTATCAGATCATAGAAATCTGTTCGGATTGTAGGGGTGGGTGAGCTAACCCACTCTCCTGGGGTGGAATCTCTGTGTAGGTGACTGATGGGACCTTCTGAGAGTCGTCATTTCCATCACCAACTTCGTTCACCTTCACGAATCCCAGTAGGAGAAGCGGCAGTGAACAGCACATCATAAATCACTGGGTTTTTCCACCAAAACTTCAAACTAAAAAAACCCCACTATTTTAAATCACATGTTTGTTCATCTTAAAGAGTTATATTATGAACTGTGAGAAATCAGGGACCATTAAACAACCATTTTCATTTACAGCAGATTCAGAGCATAATTATCTTTGAGTTTGGAGAGGATGTGCCGCCCAATGCGAAGTAAAATGCCCCGCAGCAGGAAGCCTTTCCTGCTTGCCCAGCCAGTCTTAAATGATGCATCCAACTTGCAGCATGTTGTACCTATAGCTGAGGGTCCCAACCTGAGCCTGCGGCATTCTACCATTGGGCTTTCTGTGCGTCTAGCCTGTTAGAGGTCTGTTTTTAGTGGGGGGACCATGGAGCCTCTTCACTTTAGAAGGGGGTGCCAGGCCCCGTGACCTCAACCAGGAATTTGAAGGGAGCAGTGGTTCTGAGGTTTGTGTGAAATTGGCTTTCTTGGTCATTCATGCTCCAAAGACTCAGCAAGGGGCAGTGAATGGGCATGGAGGACGTGTGGCGTGGTTATGGATACATAAGAACTGTTGGTAAAATCTGGATATGGTGGTTTCACTTTAAAAACACCTTAAGACTTTGGAGCAAAAATAAATGGCTTTGGTAACATCTGGAAACTGCAGCCGGAAAAGAGAAATGCCCCCCACTCATGCACAGAGCACAGTTGAACTTCATTCAGCTCTTAGGGCTGCCAGCCTGGGCACAGAGCCATGTGGGAGTTGAGGTGCCCTGCAGAAGTGGTGGCCATCACTTCTCCACAGGGCCCTTCAGCAGGTACCAAGGGACAGGGCGGCCCCTTCCCATAGCTGAGCAGCAGGGAAGCCCTTATTAATCAGCACCGCAGGAGAAGTCCAGGGGACCAGGAAAAAGTGTTCCTGCCCCGGGGTCAAACACCGGCCTTATCTGTGGGCTCACCTGCATATCTGCACAGGATTTCCAGAAGTAAGGTGGGGAGAAGCCAGCGAGGGCTTTGGGGCTGGCCTTACAGATGGTGGTCAATTGGTGGGTGCGACAGCCAGTCAGATCCCAGCTCCGAGAGAATGAATGCCTCCAGGATGGGGGTGTGCATTAGGCCTCTGAGCACTCAGTTTTGGAAAGGCAGCCATGCCAGCAGGTAAGCAGGGTGTGCTTTTGGGAAGTCCTGGGAGGAGAGAGAAAAAGGTTATGAGGAACAAAACTTGTAGCACTAAATAAATGGGCATTGAGTTGCAAACTTTATTTTCCCAGCTTGACTGAGTGAGGTATAATTGACAAGATTATAAGATGTTTAAAGTGTACATGATGCTTTGATATACTTCTACCTGGTGAAAGGGTTCCTCATGTCCAGTTAATTAACACATCCATAACCTTCCATGTTTACCTTTTTTTAACTTTGGGAGAGTGCATTTAAGTTCTACTCTCTGAGCATGTTTCGGTTATACAGTACAGTGTTGCCAACTATAGTCACCATGTTCTACATTAGAAACTCTGATTTGATTCACTTAACTGAAAATTTGTACCCTTTTACCAACTTCTCCCTCTTTCCCCAAACTCCCAGTTCCTGGCCACCACTTTTCTACTGTTTCTATGGGTTTGACTTTTTTCTTTTGAGATTCACATACAAGTGAGGCCATGCGGTACTTGTCATTCTCTGCCTGGTTTATTTCACTTAGCACACTGGCCTCCGGGTTCCTCGATGTTGTCACAAATGACAGGATCCCTTTAAGCCGAATTTAAAGTGTGGTCATGCTATTGGTATTTCTCAGGCTTGAGTAACGTACAGAACGGTTAAAGGACATGTTGCTCAGATACACATAAACATAAACCAGGCCTAAACTACACGTGACTATACTTCTAGATAACCATAAAACAAAAAGACACAACTAAGTATTAATAAGACTTCTGTTTTATTAGAATTTAAATTAATGACACCAATTAATGGGACAAATGATTTTGTTTTGCTTCAATTAAAATCGCCACACTAGGAAAACATGGCGTAGGTGAGCCCACACAGGGGTTTGTGAGTCCAGAACCCCTTGCTGCGTGTGCAGTGGGCTGCTCTGGTCCTGCCCCACTCTTAGCCATTTAACTGCTGAACGCTGTTTCATTCTGGGCCCAACCGGCCCTTAACTGGCTTAGACCCAGAACTCGTTTCATTGGCACTTGTCAGGGCACACTTTGCAAATGCCAGGAAAGCCTGCTAGTCCTTCTGCTCTTGAAAGCTATTCAGGAGAGAGACTGTGGCGAGAGGCAAGCTCTCCATGGAAGCCCTGAATTCTGGAAATGAGTGATTTGCTGATGTTTTCCAGTTGAACTTCTTTGGCTTTCTAATGTTACATCACAGCATGGCTTTTTTGAAAATCTTTGAGACTGAAGAAAAAGCATCTGTTCATAAAATCTTTCCACTTCGCTGTGTGCATTCTGCTTGAGGAAAAGGGATGAGGCGAGGGGGGGCTTCAGCTCTTCCCGCCGCTTACGCAGCCTCTACCCCAGAGGCTTTAGCTCAGGAGGGCATCCTGTAAGAGCCTCTTCCATGGCTTGCGCTGTTCCGAATTTGCAGAGAAGTTCACCATCTGCTCTTCCTGCGACCCGATGTCACACAGAGCAGAACAGACTCTTCTCTTCCCAAACCCTTCCTTTTTATGGGTATGCATAGTTGTCCAATTTTAGGGATAGAACAGCTGCATTTTTACCCCTCCTTTCTGTCTCTTCCTGGAGAAAGATCAGAGTCTGTAGTAAGGATGGTTTCTGAGACCGCTGGCTCTGAGTGTGTGTCCAGTGCAGCAGGCTTCTCTGCTCTTCCATACTTTGCTTTCATTGCTGGCTGGTGAGCCTTCAGCCCCATGGCTTGAAGAGCCCCTGGCTATCTGCCTCTCTGCTATTCTCGTTTTTCTCTTTCTCTTCAAATCTGCTCACTGATACTGTTGTCACCTCCACCACTGGCCCGCCTTCAGTTCTTGCCCGACAGGCCCTCTCCTCCTTACCTTTCTCCTCTCTTCCATTGTGTTCAGTGTCTCTTTTCTCTTGGGTGAATGAGTTCTTATGTCACCCTCTCCAACCAATCAGAATGTTTCTTTTTCCTTTTTGTTTCTTCCTCACTGGTTGACAGACATATCCCCGCATGTCGGAGATCATTCAGGGTGCTCACTTCCTACTCAGAACAGCACAGTGAGTGCACAAGCTGGTCAAGTAGGCTGATTTTGAGCCCCGGGAAGCTCTGCAGCAGTGGTGCTGGGGGGCACTGGTGTCCATGTCTTCCTCCAAAGGGAACATTCCCGTGGTCCTGTGTTCAGTTCAGGCACAAAGCCACAGCAGCGTCCGTGCAGCACAGGGGCAGAGATCACCCGGAAGCTTTCTCTTCTCTCTCAGACTCCCTTCATGTTGCGTTGTTGCATTTGCAGAACTCTCCTGCAGCAACTGCAGAAGCTTCAGACTGTGGTGATGGGCAAGGTTTCTGGTACCTGCAAGCTGGCTGGCACGCAGACTGGCACCTGTCTCATGGTGAGTCCTCAGGACAGCACAATAACTGCCCTGCCCACCTCTAATCCCCAATCTCTCCCCACCTGGCCAAGGCCCAGTGCAGCAGGGCTACAGGAACCACTCGGCTCACTCTCCCATGGTTTCTGGGCTGTGGTGTTTCAGCGACTGATGGATAGGTGCAGTTGGCTGGCCTTGATGGAGGGGTGTCTGTCTCCCCTGACCTCCTGCGTGTTGCAGGTCTAGAGGTTTTCTCTGTGGATCTTGGAATTGACAGCTCCCTGTGTCTCTCCTCTTCCTGCAGGTCGTTGTGCTGTGCTTTGCGGTGGCATTTGGCAGCTTCTTTCAGGGCTCTGGGCCCTATCCTTCTGCCACCAAGATGGCTCTGCCCAGCCAGGACTCCATACCAGAGCCGTACACAGCCTCTGTCGGTGAGATAATGCCCAGCAACTCGGGAAGCATGTTGTGTCATTGCTGGGCAGCTTTCTGAAGGGTGTCTGGTGGGAAAGTTCAGTTTTTAAGAAGTGGTAGAAGTATGACTTTTCCACTGAAAGGAGGGAAGTGGGACTGCAGGATCTGGTGTCCAGGCTGCTCGGTCTCCTCTTGTGCCCCTCACCCCTGGGCTCAGGCACCGCTGGCAGTTCTCTACAGCTCGGCAGAGCAGAGTCCCAGCTGTTGCTCTAGACTGTGTCCCCCTGGCAAATTCTGATGGGTCCCTTCTGAGTCCTGGTAGGGGGGAGGGAGGTGGCTTTGGGGGAGAGGGGCAAGCGGAGCATTAAGCTTCTTATGACCTTTTAAAGGAATTCCTGTGTCCCTTTACTTCTTCCACTCAGGTTCAAATTCCTGTATGTTATCATCATGAGAATTTATAAAACAGTCTGACTCACAAAATACTATGCCCAAGATTTAGAGCATTTGGAGACTCAGGTAGTTAGGTAAGGAGCGTGTGACATTCTCACCTACGTCAGTGGTCTCGTCTAAGTGTGTAGGAAATAAAGAGGTGGTAGATAGGGGTCATGATATATACGCTGACACACATGCACACTAATGAGAACAAGTGTGAGCTCGTGGGTACTGGATTTGTTCAGAAAGGTCTGCGGTCTTTACCACCTGCCAGGTTATGACAGAAATGCTAGCGTTTTAACCAAATGATTTCAGTGGTCTCTTGGGGGGAATTCTTTTTTTCCTTAAGGGGCTGTATCTCTAGACCTCAGTGGGAGCATAGGTTCTGTGTTGGAGAAATTGCTGCAGAGCCATCCAGCTTCACAGCCATCCTGTAAAACAAGAGACTGTCTCCGTTGTTTGATTTCTGGCTTTGGCTTTGTGTCTTCTCTCCAGTTCCTAAATCAAAATGCTCTTTTCTGCCCTTGTACCTTCTCTCCATACTCATTGCAAATTCTTCTTATTTTAGCTGGGTCTGGTCATCTCCATGCATGTGATTTCATTCTCCATGAATTGTTTCCCCCAGATGGTTATGGGTGGGCAAGGAGGGGAGTTTTATTTTCAAAGCAATGGGGGTGGCAGTTTGCTTTGTGTTTATTTGCTTTTCTATTGTTCTCCCAGCACTGTGTAATTGGTATAATTTTTCAATGCACAAAACTCTGAAACCCTGATGCCTTAATGGAAAGCCGGCTCCAGCTGGCACCCTCAGTCCTGGGCAATAAGAAGCCATGAGTTGTCGTGTGCTCTGAACCCTGGACGTGGAATGAGGGGATGTGGGGTGCCCTGGGGTCTCCCCCTAACACTGCCACTTTGCTCTCTCCTCAGTGAGATCCAGGAACCTGCTGATCTATGAGGAGCATTCTCCTCTGGAAGAGCCGGCCAGTCCCGCCTCGGCTGGGGAGCTTGGGCGCTGGGACAGAGGCCCCTCCCTGCTCAGAGCATCAGGGTTGGAGTCCAGGCCAGATGTGGATCTTCCGCATTTCATTATCTCAAATGATACCAGCCTGGAGAAGGCCGTGTTGTTGGAGCTGCAGCAGCACTTGTGAGTCAAGTAGACACAGAGTCAACTCCTCTCATGTGCGGTGACAGTTACGAGCCAGGGACCTGGGATGGGGCTGTGGACTGTGTTAGCTGAGGCCTAGTCCAGCTCCTCAGCTGGTTCAGGAACTATTTCCAGGCCTGGGGACTCTGGAGAGTCAACCACTTGCCAACAGCTGCCCTTAGCAGACACTGGGGAAAGACGCAGGGTGAGCCCCACTCCCCAGCCCCCGTGTCAGCAACATCACTGGGAGCCATCAGTGGTGGCCCCAAGAAGTGGGGAAGGGCTTGAGTCCCTTCCTCACTATCTTCATCTTCCCCTCCAAGCCACATAAGTAAAAACACAGCCAATAACAGCAGTGCACTTTCTATGCAAACGCAGCTTCAAGACACCTTCTCCAACTAGACACATGTCTATGTCATGCTATATGTCAATATACAGTTCCATGATTTATATGTAAATAAACATGCATTAATGACCGCTATATATTTATATTGAGGGATGCTATTTGAGAGGCACTATGCATATCCATGTTTCCATATGAAAATAATATATTTGGCTCCAGTTCTCCATGAGTTGTTCTCCTTAGATAGTTTTCAGGAAAAGTCCTCTTGTAAACAGAAAGGCTTATGTGCCGGCCAGGTATTCCGCTGGGGAGGGTCCTGGCAAGGAGGACCTGCATCTCGCTCCTGGTTATGGTGGTGTGGTTGGTTATCTAGCTGAACTCTGCCCCTGTCACCCCCAGAAATGACGCTCTCCTCATGTGAGTGGGAGAGATTCTGTTTCAAATTTTTCAGCTTTCTTCCCCTAATGCTGTGGGAGAAGGTTCATAATTATATATACTTATATATATTTCATTATACATGCATATTTAACATTTATTAGCACTCACTATTTTAAGCATTGTGCAAATATGATATATAAATCTTTTAAATACTTTAAGAGATTAGCACTATTATTATTCCCATTATAGAGAAATTGTAGAGCTGCCACTGAGAGTTGTTGAAGACCCACCTGCTTAATTACTTGGCTCATGACACAAGTCTTCTCTCCTCTTAGTTCAGCTGTTCAAGGCCACATCGAAATCCCCTGTGTTCTGGAATGTCTCCCTGAAACCAGAGCCCTCACAGCCCTCCTATGAATGTCTATAGACTTTCTAGGCTATTACATGATTTAATAACATATTTAGATTCTGTTCTATATTTATTGTTAATTCAGGTTAGTTTTTTTTAAAATTTGGATTATTGGCTATTCTAGCCCTGATTCTGCCTTTAGTGTTATTTTCTCCCTCTCAGATCTGACATAGGGATAACCATCCTCAGTAAATACATTAACTTAAAGTGATTTATAACAAATCAGTATCAAACGTGTTTGTCCTGAGTTGGGAGGTTTCCTCTTCGGGGGGGGATGAAGGTGGGAACACGGCCCAGTGGAGAGGCTGGTAGCTGGAGACTCTGGGGTCAGAATGGCTACGAGGTGGGAGAAAACGAGAACCAGCCTCGGGCCAGCCCATAAGTTGCCATCGTGGAATGACTCTTACTACCAAGTGCGAGAGAATCACAGTTGGTAATCGGCGGCTGAGGCTTCTCTTTCCTTTTGATGCCTTTACAGGGTCAGCACCAAACTGGAGGGAAACGAAACGCTACAAGTTGTAGAAATCGACAGAAGAGTGAACGCCACCTTCTAGAGAGGCTGGCCCCGACTCCCTCTCTCTCTTCGCTCTGCTTTTAAGTCCCCAAACCACCTTTGTCATAAGCTTTTCCTCTTTGCTCCCCGATCTGGGCAAGGACGTGGATGAGCAGTTGTGGCTCTGGCTGGGAGGACAGCCTGGGACTCCCACCGGCAGTGAGAGAGCTCTTCCCTCCACCGCGCGGCCCTCCCCGCGGAAAGAGCCCGGTGTCTCCCCTGCTCTTCGCTTACTGCCGTAGGAAATTACCTGAGGGTCTGGGTGGGACAAGCAGGCTTGCTTCTACTGATAGTGCCAAAAAGATGCTGCCTGATTCTCACTTGTGGGGTGTGACTCTTGTGCATTTGAGACCCCACACGCTAGCCACAAAAGTACCAGGATGCCTGTTGGGATCTGGCAAACCACTGATTCATGTCCTGCTTTCCTCAGCCTGGGTCTCCAGTGTGCCCACTCACTCCAGCCCCAGAAGTGCTGGGGCCTCCATGAGCACTCCCTGCCCCTCTGCCCTTTATGAGCCCTTGCGGACTGTCCTCCCCGCACTGGAGCGAGGGCTCCCCTTCATATTCTCAGGCCGCAAGTGCAATGCCTGAAAGAGTCAGGCGTTTCTACTCCAGGCGAACCCGCCCCATCTTGTTGCTTGTAGGACTTCCTTCCCCACAACCTGTGGCCCCACATACCCATAGTTCCGCCTCCCTGGCTTCTCCTCCCCACTTGTAAATAGTATTTATTAGCTTGCTGAGGCTTCCCACTAGCAACCACAGTGAAGAGAGCCGACGCCTCCCTCTAAGCCAGCAAAGTTTTCTGTTGGCCTTTGCAGCTAGGAGGGTACCCCTGCCTCTGGGATCCCCATTCCTCCAGACCACGTTATGTCTGGAAGCCTATAATTATAGTTGGGAAGTCCCCTTAAACATGTGTCCTCCTATGCAGTGAACTCAGAGGGAAAGACGGAGCAATGCCATGCTCAGGTCTGTGGCTCTGTGGCCCAATGCCTTTTCTAACCTGTTCTCATAAGGGAAGCCCTGACAGCAGGAGTCTTGGACAGCCTGGTGTTTCCAACCTGCCCCTGGCCCCTCCTCCCTGCCTCCCCCTACACTTTCTTTACCACCCCCCTTTTCTACTTCAACACAGGAGGGCGGGCCTGAGGACTGGGGCTGGAGTAGGGGACTTCGTGTGCCCACAGTCTGACCTTGTGTGGTAAGCTTTGGCTACTTTGCAGCTCACCCAAAGAGATACAACCTAACTCCCCAACCTCCTTTTTTTTTTTGTAAGGATTAAAAGTAACCTTTGTAGCATAAAAAAAAATCTTTCCTCTTTCATACAAGAAATGGAAATTGCCTTTTTATTGTATAATGTAGAAGATTCCTCTTAAGTGTTTTTCCCTAGCTTGTAAAAGATTTTGTGTAAGAAATTTGCTTACATTTTATATTTTATTTTTAGTAGTAGCTGAAGGGGCTTTGGCTTTAACTTCTCCCTCTCCCTCTCTCTCTCTCTCACCTACATTGTCATTGGCACCTAAGAAGGATTAAGCCTGCACCTGGGCCTTCCATTCCAGACCAGATATGAGCTTTGGTGCCATTAACTTTTGCCATCATAACTCATGAGCAGATGCTCACCTTGTCTGCCGAGGTGCGCTTGGGGCTCGCTATGCCTAATTCCTCTCTCCGCTCCTGTGATGACAGAGTTACAGACTGGGAGATGGCCACGTTCATTGTCTGGGCAGCATTGAAGCTGCACCGGGACTGCATGGCAGCCCTGGAGAGGCACAGCCCCCCCCACCCCCCGTCCCTCGCCATGGCCAGAGAGGGTTGCCAGCATGCCCTCTGCGCCAGCTTCTCTCTGCTCGCTTCTCTCCTCTTCCTCTCTGGATCCTCCTGGGCCTGGCTGGTGTCTCGTCACCATGGGTGACTGCTTACCCATTCTTCTCTTTAAAATGTCACATAATTATCAGGCACAGGCAGCCGGTGGGGCCTAAGAAGGGCAAATGAATGAACTCCGGTGGTATTTGGACAATGAGGGAAAAAAGGTTTCACATTTAAGGGCCGAAGTGTGAGAATGAGTCAGCCTAGCCACCTGCCGCAGCGGAACCAGATCAGGTTGTTAAGGCTCCTGGACTGGCCAAGTGGAAAACCTGCTCTTCTGAATGAGGAGGGGGAGGGGAAAGGGCAGCGGACTTGAAGCTCCTGTCCCTGGTGCCTTGAGGATTTTATTTCTCCCTGACCTACCCTTGGTTGAATTCACTCTCCAGGCCTCCAGACAGCAAGCCTCTGCCTCTGGAACCCTTCTTCCAGAACTGAATCTCTATCAGATTACATGATACATCAGCTTGAGAGCTCAAATGGTCATATGTTAAGGGGGTTCCGAGAACCAGTATGGCCACTGTCTGAGACAGACCTCTGCCCGCCTCTCCCTGCTTGAGAGACTAGAGGCGGCTGACCAGGTGTCCTTTGGGAGGGTGGAATGAGGTCAAGAGGACAGAGGAGTCGGCTAATAGCAGGTTGGCTCCAAGTCATTAATGTAGGCGTGCACGTTTTGTGTTCGAGGGTCAAGCCCGGAGCGTCAGTCCCTCAGAGAGTCAGTCAGGCCTGCTCAGCCCTGAAGGTGCACAGTGGCAGACACTGGCTTCCAGACTTCAGTTTCGAAAAATACAAGACAGTGCAATCACAAAGGATAACTATGTTAATTATAAACATATATTAGTTCTATTTTTTATCATGTAAACAGGTTTTCCTCCATTTTTCTGATTACCCTTCTGAAGGAGGTGTCTTGCACATATTCGGAGAACAAACATATTTTACTGGATGAGACCTGAGTAAACCAGACACCCCAGCATGGCTGTTTTGCCATCTCTCGACTTGGCGCTTAGAAATGGGCACCAGAGATGAGAGGCCTCAGTACCAGCTCTAAGGAAGAATGTCTTTGAAGTGTTAGGACACGGGAGCCTGGCTCATATAGAGTGTTACGTAAAATTCTGGCAGCTGAACTAGATTGCTCCCTTTGGGCAGGAGGTAGGGATGAGCTCTGACACCAGCGTGGGCAAAATTAGGTAAGCTTTTTGTACATTTGTAAGTCATTTTGATTTGAAGACTCAATTTAGAGATTGTGAAAGCCGCTTTTCGCTCAACTTATATTACAAACCACCATCAATGCCACGTTTTTTCTTCCTAAATCTCTCACATTAGCCTGAATCCCATGTGCCCACAGAGCTGGGGCATGGAGCTGACTTGTCTTCATTCTGGCAGTCAGTGTTCAGAATTTTGGTCACAATTGTTTTATTAACAATTTTCAGCACTTCCTGCTCAGACCAAGCAAAACCACAAAGACAGAAGCAGAGGCCTTTCAGGGCCAGCTCCCCTGAACATACGTGTCACGTGGGGTGGAGACTGCCCGTTCCCTGCTGAGGAAACGGACCATCCATGCTGGCCTTGCTAACGTGGGGCATTGGAGATGGAGAGGAAGTTTTGCAGCCTCCGCATCTGCCATGAGTCACTAGTTTGGTACTGCTGAATCCAGTCTTTGGGAAACATTCATTAAAGACACCAGCACTCCTGGGTGTGTGCCGGTGGGGCCTGTGAAACCGTTAGCAGGTGGTGCTCTACTGAGACTCATTTATTTGAATGCTTTTCAGCTGAGACAATAAGGGGGCCCTGCTAAGAGGAGGCCCTCTGTGGGCAGAGTGAGCAGAGAGGGGGGCTGGGGGCGAGCCAGCAAGAGTTCAGATGTTTCATCCATCCATTCATTCATTCATTCAGCCAGTCAGCCAGTCAGTCGTAGGACTTTTCAGTGTTACTGAGGAAGAGTACTGTATGTACTGTATGTGGGCGCTTGGGAATATTGGAGAATAAGACGGCTGAGGACATTTCATTAGTAATTATTCAAATGACATAAGTGCTAGGTCTCAGTCTCTGTGTCTCACACACACACACATATTCATCCCTTGTCTTAGACACTTGTTTGTGCCTTAAATGTGCCTTACATGTGAATCCAGGATGACTGGGGACTGCCTTGTCCCTAGGTGATTTTATGTATAGCCTTGTATTAGATCGAAGTGGGTGTGGGGAAAGGACTTTTTCCAAAGGCTCCAAAATAGTTCCCTAATAGTGAGCTGTGATCAGATTTGCACATCAGGGGTAAAGAAATAGGGTTATGTCCATTAGGAAAATCCCATTTTGTGGAGGTGCAATCACATCTAAAAATGGCCAGCTGAGATTAAAGGTATACATCCTCCTCGCAGAACATTTTCCGGGTGCCAAGGACCTGGGCCATTTGAGGATTACTGCTCGATGCCTATGTAGCCAAAGGCTCAGCACTCACCACAGGGAAAATCTAGGCGTTGTTTCATTCTGTTGTCTGGGGCAACATAAAATTCAGGAATGCTTTGTTTTCATCTTGGTTTCAAGAAGGAAGGGAAATAGTATTTCTTGAGCACTTACTAAGTGCTGGGTGCTATGCTAAATAGATTTTGTTTTTTAATTTTATAGAGAAAACAAGGGCAACTGATTACTATAAAATGGATAAACAACTAAATGATGCGGGAGTTCACTGTGTGGAGTGGGTGGAGCAGATTCCTTTCTGTGAACACAAGTTCTTTGAACAGGAAGCGTAGCGTCTGTTCCCTGCGCTGGCTTGGCTGAGCAGTGTCCAGTTTTTTGCGTAGGTTCGTCCAATCTTCTGTGAGTTCCAGCCAGCAGGCTTTGCATCCTGGGAAAGAAAAACTGGGGTTTTAGCTCAGTTTCTCTGCTCCTGTCCTTTGCTCCCCAGCCGTGTAAGAATATGAACTTTTTGCACCATGGACTCATGGCCTACACTGCTGAGAAAGTCTCCTTTCAGATAAAATGCTTTATGAGTCTATGGGAAACCATCCCTCTTTGGCAAATTGTGAGCAACCCTTTTTAAACAACGCTGAGCAGACCTTGGACTATGAGCGACTATAAGCTTTAATGTCTATTTTCCTCTGTTTTTAATAGGTTGTATAGACCAACAGTGTTTAAGATTAAATACATTGAGTCTATTATCTGTTGTATTGTTCTGTTTTCTAATGGCTTTTTATTCTTTATCATAGCTAAATAAATACAAAAAAAAATGTAGGATACTTGAATTTAGTTTGGAAAAAAATGAATTGAAATTACTATGCTTTTGTATTTCCATTTCTTGCAAATAAAAATATGTTTTTCTTAAAATAGTAAAATGTTGTCCCGTCTTTAAAATCCTGGTAATCTGGTTTTTGAAGCATTTTGCTTTTTTATGGATGCTTAACCATTCTTTTCTGATTATCTAGTCAAATTGAAAGAAGAACCTCAAACCAGCAATTTGTACATTATCCAGTAGCGAATCCAAATCTCAGTTGGAGGAATATTGAGAAACGTAATTGTTCTCTCAGTCAGTTACAGGAAGAAAAACAGCATTGTCTAGAGATTTATGCTGCCTGACTGCTATTTTTGTTGTCTCCTGCAACTATTTGCTAACGAGGCTTCGGGACTCTGTGGATATGATTTTGCTCTCTCTGTCCTGGGGTGCCTGAGAATGAAGGTTTGGGCTTGAGCAGAAGTGGAGGCTCCTCCTTCAGAAGCACAGTTGCAGAGGACACCTAACAGAGTCATGTTCCAAAACTCTGATGGAATGCTTGATAAAGGTCAATGCCATCTCTGAATTCAAATGTAATTTTCTCCACTCAGAGAGAATGGGGCGTCACTGAGCCTCAGGAGTGCCCAGGGCATTAGAGACAAGGCCATGGACGTGCTCACCTGGAAGGCTGTTATTTTTCTTAGCAACGTGGCTAACACTGCTTCGGGCTGGTGGGGGTGGAAGCAGGGGGCGATTAATCTCTTGCTGCCTTTCCCCTCTGAGCAGCCTGACCCTTTTCTCTTCTGTGCCTACACAAGGGGCCCTTCCCTGTGGAGGCTTTCTGTGAAAACATCTCCTTTTCTTTCTTATATGGAGAGCCTACTATGGATGCCTCCTTCTCGACAAGATGTGTGCTGTGTGCAGGGGGCAGAGTCGCTGATGTGAGAACATCCTGTATTAACCCTGCCTTTGTCTTTTCTCTATCGAATGCGTTGACATCTGGGCTCTTGCTGACCCAGGAGGGCCTGCCCCTCCCAGGGCTAGCCAATTGCTACGCATAGTAAAGGACTTGCCTACAAGCACATCTTTCGAATGCAAACCAGTCAATTCAGAGCCCATAGCACCTCCTTTAAGGGCTCACAGGGGCCGCTCTCCCCCTGCCCTAATCACCTGAGGACCGGGTGCCGGACAGCTGGGTCCAGTTCCTCTGCCTGGAGCCCACGGAAGTTACTCCAGCTAGACGGTCTGAAGCCTGCTTACCTAGCCTTACTTGTTCCTTCCTGTGGAAACTGCAGTAAAGGCTCTTGCCTCCTTTCCCTCCCTCCCTCTGCCTCCTGCCAGCCCCGCAGCTTCCCTGTGGCCTCCTGGCAAGGCACGCTCCTGCTTCTTGGGAACTGTGAGTAACAAACTATCCTTTCAATGACAATCATCTCCTGATCTGTTGGCCTTACCATATCTGAATAATAACAAAACCTACATTTAAAAACACATTCCTTGGGGGTAGAAATGTCAAACAAGAGGCTGATCCCAGGTCCCTGGGCCTCCTGGATTTCGTTGATGACCCTACTGTGATTCAGAGTGCTATCACCTAGATTGATTCTGCCAGGTTATACTGGTTGTCACTTTTGTTCCAGACAAGAGAAATGAGACCTATAGAGGGTGGCAGGGCTTGTTCATGGTGAAAGAGGTACATCAAGGAGCAGGTGTTTAAAATCCTAATCCTGTGCTCAGATTCCAGGGCAAATCCTACCTTTCTTTTCTGAGGAAGAGCTGTAAAGTGAGGGAACACTGGGATACAAAAGAACCCAGCTGGATCCAGGAAATAAGAGTTATGGGTTCTTGCGTGGTTATACCATTAACTTACCGCCCATGGGGAGAAAAGGAATCATTTACTGAGTGTCTATTATGTACCAGGTAGTTGTCATGTATTAAATATCTTCTTTTTTTTATAATAAGTTTTGGAGTAGTTTTTCATCCAAAAACTTTATGGTGGTTATATAATTACCCCCTTTTACAGTTGAGGAAATAGGCATTCAAAAAGAGTAAGAAATTTACTCAAAGTTATACAGCAAATTAGCTGCAGATGAGGGATTGGAGGTCTGGTCTTCACTGCCTACAAGTACATAGTCTTTGCACTACAATATGTTGTTATTTAGGGGTTGTGGATTTTTACTTGTGAGAATACAGGAGTTAGCCTAGATCAGAGGTTGGAAACCTTCAGCTCCTGCACAGATGTTTCTGATTTGGTCCCGTGATGTTTACTGGCTAATCTTTCAACATTCAAAGATTTCTCATGAAACTCCACATTTCCATCTTCTCTTGACCAACTAGAAGATCTGATGATTTCAGGATCTGTGTAGTGGTGGCCCCGTAGATGGTATAGGGCATCTCTGGTGGCCACCTTCCCCATGTCCAGGGTGGTTCACTCATTTATGTCACTTACCTGGTCCTTCTGTCATCTGACTTGATAGACTCTGGGCTATATGGTGGCTGACTTTCCAGGAATCATAAGAAAGAGAATAAGGGAAAAAATCCTGTATTGGTGGTGGGAGTAGGAGGTGGGGAGGGTGGTTAGTTTCATCCTGAGGGACGGGACGTGTGCAGCCAGAGCAGGGAGACGGCTGGGTTGTGAGTGGTGGAGGAGTGTGCACACCAATTGCCCTTCTTTGCACTAGATGAAAACAAAATTTGCAGTCTTTAATCTGTTCTTCTTACTCCTGGAAACAAACCTTCATTAATCTCAAAAATAATATTAAAAATCTTTTTAATGATCCTCTTTCACATGTCATCCAGTGTACATGCTCATCACCCATGAGGAAGGTGGCACAATCATTATTGTCCCTATTGCTCAGCCAAGGAGATGGGGGCTGCAGACACATGAGTGGCTCTACATTAGGTTCTACTTTGAGTTAGTACAAGGCAGAATAATGGACCAGCTGTCCTGATTTCCAACCAAGGACAAGTTCCATTGGCCATGCCTCATTTGGGCAGGTGACTCTCTAGCTTCAAGTCATTGTGACTCCTGCAATGATACTGCTTTGCAAGGTGCCACTGCCATACTCATTTTCCTAGAATTTTCAGGAGTAAGTTTTAACCTAGGATTTGGGACACCCCTCAAAGTCTCCTGTCTCTACAGAGAGGGGAAAAAATGGAAGATGGTTCATCTCCGTCATTTCCTACAAAATAATGCAAGTCCCCTTTTGAGAAGTTGGTTCTGCTTGATCCCTCATCATTTGATGAGCCTGGCAGGTTGCACAAGTTGATGTTGTCTTCCAATGGGCACAGCTGTTGCTAGATCTTTTGGCAATTACAAAGAAGAGTTCTGGCCCCATGAGGAGCCCATGTGTTCTCCTCCTCCCTCTATGCTGTTGTTTTTAGATGGAGGAACAAAAATATCCATTGAGGAATACCATGAAAAGCTGCCAGAAAGGCTGTTGTGCCCTTCTCCAAGAAGTCTGTTTCAAAATGTTTAATGTTTCTCAAGTGAAAAGTATTTGGGAATCAGGGCTGCCAGAGTGTTCATAACTAATGTCCTTCCCAGTATTTCTGCAAAACAGATGGCAAGTTGAGTTTCCTGATGGGTGCATGAGAGGTTCTATGTGCTGGGGCTGGTTCAAGGAAAAAACCTCCTCCAAAGAAAAAATGTAAACATACAACCACCTACATATTTAGAGACCACCGGGACAGAAAAGGTGCCCTCAATTCCCAAAATGTTTCCTTTCTTGTCTTTGTTATCACTTAGATGATTGACACAGCTTTTTATCATGGTTTGAGACAGTTGAAATTGTAAATGCATACAGAAAAGAAACTACAGTTGAAATGGTATTTGCAATATTGCACACATAATTCCATGGGGTCCTACCCCAGGGGCAGTACTTGGCAGGGGATATAAGTTGAGCTAGGAGGGAAAGTCAGTTAGAGTTAGAAATGCCCATATGGCATAACAGGGAAAAGAGGGAGAAATTATTACTGGAACCAATGACAAAATTTGCCTGCAATACAATTAAATTTAAAAATTCTGTTGCAGTGCTATTGCCCATAGTTAAAAAAAGCTACAGTACTAGAGAGCTTTTGCTAAAAAACAGCAGTCCATTTTTTTGTATTTACTTTAGAAGTAACCATTTTCAATTTCTTCTTGCATTCATCTCTAATTTCTAAATAATGCGCTTATGCTGTTAATATTTGATATATTGATTTTAGACATTCACTCTTTTTTTCTTTTTTTATTGTCAATATGCATCACAGTGGTTCAACAGTCCCCCTCCCCCTCCCTAGCCCACTCCCCTCCCCCTTGGTAACCACCAGTCACTTCCCAGTGTCTATGAATCTAATGCTGTTTTGTTCCTTCTGTTTTGCTTTGTTTTTATATTCCACAAATAAGTGAA